GGGGGGGGGGGTGGGGGTGGGGGTGGGGCGGGAACTGATTTTGAGATACATGCCTGATATCCATACATGGAGTGGAGCTCGATTTTCAAAATCTCCAACCGATATAATGTCAATCTCATGTCCCTTTGATCATTAATACTATCTGAGTAAAAATCTTCATCATCCAAACATTGAAAAGGAAAAATAGTTAAAAGGAAATTTACCAATGAATCTACAATTTTCTTTTTGTCAAAACTATGGTTTCACTTTCATATGTTATGTTACTGAGAGAAGAGGCTCTGCCTCTGCAAGTTACATAGATGCAATATGCTCAGGGAACTCCAAACAACTAGATTGGCATTCCTAGACAAGAACCAATGAGCAAGAGTAGCTGAAACCCAAACAACTAGCACCCAAGTTCGAGTGTTCAATAAAGTACTGTAGCCAACTAAACAAGATCCTTCTGCAATACAAAAATGTGAGAAAGTATAGAGAGCACTCTGTCCTGTTTAGCATGCTTCTTCAGAAATGTGAAATAGCAAGTATTATACAAAATACACATAAAAGGTAGCCTACAGATTAATAAACTACTACTTACTTTACATATAAATAAAAACATGAAAGTAACATATGAAACTGGATTCAATAAAAATTTATGTTATTCAAAATTTAATTTTAGGAATTTATACAGTTTTCCATAGTTTCTCTTATAGGTAACCAATCATGCTCTTAGAAAAACTCACAATGATTTTATATCAAATGTGTATAAAGGAAATATGTAGATCAGAGATATCAATCTATCAATCTTAAAGAGAACAGATACCTTTCCAGTCTGAAGTGTATACATCACCACCATCTTCAGCATGATACATCCTTAGATATGACTTTTCTTCACCATAAGCGGGTCTAAGGTACCCTATAATAGAAACAGCATTTGAAGGACGATTCATTCTTTTAACATATTCCATGTTGTTGACAGCCTAGAAGAAAATTTGTAAAGGATCAATGTTATTTCTTCCAGAACCTGTGAATCTGTTAAATCATTCTCATGTTGAAACTTGAAATATTAGTCATTGGTTTTCATTGTGATTTCTTTTTCGTTTTTTTTTTTTTTTTGGGGGGGGGGGGGGGGGGGGG